TTTCTTTCTTTCTTTCTTTTTTTAAGACAAGAGTCTCACTCTTGTCTTCCAGGCATGATCTTGGCTCACTACAACCTCCACCTCCCGGTTGCAAGTAATTCTTGTGCCTCAGCCTCTCGAGTAGCTGGGACTGCAGACATGTACTCCCACACCTGGCCAATTTTTGTATTTTTTAGTAGAGATGAGGTTTCATCAGGATGGCCAGGCTGGTCTTGAACTACTGGCCTCAAGTGAGCCTCCTGTGTCAGCCTCCCAAAGTGCTGGGATTACAGGTGTGAGCCACCACACCCGGCCAATTAATCTGCTTTTAATTTAAATTAATAACTCAATGGATAGTTCTTACCCATATCTTAACTGTATTTTCCAATTGTGATTTTTTTCAAATCTTTTTTTTTTATAGATTCCTGTTCCCTGTTAAATTTTTCAAACATTGCTCTTATTTCCTAGAACTTAATAAATATAGTTGTTTTTTAGTCTCCTGATATCTCCAGTATTTGGAGTTCCTTTGGATCTATAACTGCTCATGGTTCTTTCTCATTGTACTTTGTTCATATATTTGTGTGTTGGATGTGGTACTTGAAAACTTCTTTATGGAAAAATTAGAGACTTTGGGTGTGACGTCTTTTTCCAGGTGACTGACGGCACTAGCAGAACAGGATCATTTTAATACAAGTTAAAGGCCAAGCATGGTGGCTCACGCCTATAATCCCAGCACTTTGGGAGGCCAAGGCAGGCAGATCGCTGAGGTCAGGAGTTTAAGATCAGCCTGACCAACATGGTGAAACCCCATCTCTACTAAAAATACAAAAATTAGCCTGGCATGAAGGTACCTGTAATCCCAGCTACTTGGGAGGGTGAGGCAGGAGAATTATATGAAACCGGGAGACGGAGGTTGCAGTGAACTGAAAACGCATCACTGCACTCCAGACTGGGCAACAGAGTGAGACTTCGTCTCATAAATAAATAAATACAAGTTGAAGAATTGAGGTTTTTCTGAACTATCTAGATGATTTGAAGCTGAGTCTGTGGAAAGGCTGATTTACTTCATTCTTACTCTTAGGATGCAGCCCTTTGGGGCCTCAGTTCACAGGTTTGCTGCGGGGGGGGTGGTGGGGAGCACGTCACTGAGTTATGGGTTGTAAGTTACCTCCTTTGCAAGGCCTTGGAGAGAGCTGGACCTTTCCTGGATCTCCACTGGCAAATCAATGTCCCCAGGTCTTGCCTCTTTCTTTGTATTTTCATTTTACCTGGATTTTAATTTGGTAATACCTCATTATCTTGTTAGATTTTTGTTACTCTTAGAAAGATTTATATATATTACATCTAATTTTTGTCAGATTATTTAGTACATGTTACTGTAAACAGAAAATGAGATCTTATTTTCATGAACTCATGCTATTCTAACATTAACCTTGAAACAAGTGACAATACGGTGAGAGATGTGTTACTATATTACTGCTTATGTCTCCGTGTGACACTGTTAAGATGCCTGAATTGATTGGGTAAACCATGTGGTGTTAGTTGGTGGGTGCTTTAAGGTTCACTATCTAGAGCATGGTCTTTGCAGCTGGTCACCTGATTTTTGAATCCCAGCTCTGCCACTTTTTTGCAGTGTGACCTCAAGCAAATAACTATTCTGCCTCTGTTTCATTGTCTAGAAAATGGAAATAATAATTGTACCTACCTTATGGGTGGTCGTGCCAGTTAAATTAGTTCATCACTAAAGCTTTTAGAATGTTGCCAGACTTATAGTAACCATTAGATAAATTTTAGCTATTAGCGTTACCACCTAGAAGCCTTTGGAAATATAGGCATACATCATTTTATTGCATTCCACTTTATTGTACTTCACAGATATTGTGGGATTTTTTGTTTTATAAATTGAAGGTTTATGGCAACCCTGCATTGAGCAAGTCTAACTCTAGAGGTGCCAAGTTTCCAACAGCATATGCTCCCTTTGTGTCTTAGTGTCATATTTTGGTAATTCTGCCAATATTTATTGTAAACTTTCTAATTAATTAACTAATTAATTTTTTGAGACGGAGTTTTGCTCTTGTTGCCCACGCTGGAGTACAGTGGTGCAATCTTGACTCACTGAGACCTCCACCTCCCGGGTTCAGGTGATTCTCCTGCCTCAGCTTCCCGAGTAGCTGGAATTATAGGCATGTACCATCACGCTTGGTTAATTTTGTGTTTAGCACATCTCCAACTTTAAATCAGAAGCTCGAAATGATTGTTTAGTGAGGAAGACATGTCGAAAGCCAAGATAGGCTGAAAACTAGGCCTTTTGCACCAAACATGTAGCCAAGTTATAAATGCAAGGAAAGGTTCTTGAAGAAAATTAAAAGTACAACTCCAGTGAGCACATGAATAAGAAAACGAAACAGCTTATTGCTGTTACAGATAAAAGTTTTAGTGACCCAGATGGAAAATAAAACCAGCCACAACATTCCCTTAAGCCAGAGCCTAATCCAGAGCAAGACTTTCACTCTTTTCTCTTCTGTGAAGGCTGAAAAAGGTAATAAGTTGCAGAAGTAAAGTTTGAAGCTAGCACAGATTGGTTCATGAAGTTCTTGAAGCCATCTCTTTTTTAACATTAAAGTGCAAGTTGAAACAGCAACTGCTAATGTAGAAGCTGCAGCAAGTAACCCAGAAGATGTAGCCAAGATCACTGATGAAGGTGGCTGTATTAAACAGATTGTTAGTGTAACCTTAGGTCAGAAGAAGATGCCATCTAGGACTTTCATAGTTAGGAAAAGTGGATGTCTGGCTTCAAAATACAGACTGACTCTCTTATTAGGAGCTGGTGCAGCTTGTGAATTTAAGTTGATGACAGTGCTCATTTACCATACAAAAAATTTTAGGGCCCATAAATTTATGTTAAATCTATTCTGCCTGTGCTCTTTCAGTGGATCAACAAAACCTAGATGACAGCACATCTGTTTACAGCATGGTTTAATGAATATTTTAAGCCCACTGTTGAGACCGACTACTCAGATTAGATATGTTTCAAAATATTGCTCCGTATTGACAGTGCTACATCTGGTCACCTAAGAGCTCTGATGGAAATGTACAAGGAGATTAGTGGTGATTTCATACTTGCTAACACAACATCTATTCTGCAGCCCCTGGATCAGGGAATCATTTTGACTTTCAAGTCTTATTATTTAAAATATATACTTCATAAGGCTCCAGCTGCTATAGATAATTCCCCTAGTGGGTCTGGACAGAGTGAGTTGAAAACCTTTTGGAAAGGATTTACCATTCTAAATGCCATTAAGAATATTTGTGATTCATGGGAGGAGGTCAGTACAAGAACAGGAGTTTGGAAGAAGATGATTCCAGCCCTCCTGGATGACTTTGAGAGGTGTTCAAGACTTGAATGTAGGCAGGAAATTCAGATGTGGTAGACATAGCAAAAAAACTCAAAAGTAGAGCCTGAAGATGTGACTGGATTGCTGTAATCTCACGATAAAACTTGAACAGATGAGGAATTGCTTCTTATGGATGAGCAAAGAAGGCGATTTATTGAGATAGAATCTACTCCTGGTGAAGATGGCTGTGAACATTGTTGAAATGCCAATGAAGGATTTAGAATATTACATGAACGTAGTTGATAAAGCAGTGGCAGGGTTTGAGAGAACTGACTCCAATTATGAAAGAAGTTCCACCTTGGGCAAAATGCTATCAGGCAGCGTGGCATGCTATAGAAAAATCTCTTACGAAAGGCCAGTCTGTATAGCACTTCATTGTTGTGTTATTTGAAGAAATTGCCACAGCCACCTCAGCCTTCGGCAACCACCACCCTAATTAGTTATCAGCTATCAAATGAGGGCATAACCTCTACCAGCAAAAAGATTAGTACTCCCTGAAGGCTTAGGTGATTATTAGCATTTTTTTAACAATAAAGAATTTTTTAAATTAAGGTATGTACATTGTCTTTTAGACATAATGACATTTCACACTTAGTATAGTATAAACATATAAAAGTTGATATGCACTGGAAAACCAGAAAATTTGTGTGACTTGCTGTATTGCGATGGTCTGGAACCAAACCCACAATACCTGCAAGGTTATGCTTATGGCTGATTTTTCATAGCATGTTTGTGTCTCTGGCTTTTTTATTTTCAAAATTTAGGATTGCAGGTGACTCTCCATGGGTTTATTTCAGAATGACTGAGGTTAGGGTGTTTGCTAATTTCATGCCAGTGGTCAGTGAAGGAAGAAGAACTCTTGTACTTTAGAGGTCATCTGCCATCAAGTAGGGCTCCCAAATGTCAGGCCACTGTCCCTCTGTGGGGAGGGTGGGGGATTGGTCTTGTGGCTTCTAGTTCTTGCTATGTACAGTAAGAATGTGCTCCGTTGGCATTCTTCTTTGTGAATTAGAGGATTGATGAGGATTTAACCCTGCTGTGTTTTCTATCAATGGACTGTAGATCCCAAGGTGTGGGATCTTTCCTAATTAAGAATGACAAAAATTACCTGTCACAGAGTGCTGTGACACCAGTCAGTAGTTATTTATTGTGGCTTTTTTTGTTGTTCTTGAAACAGTTTTGCTCTTGTTGCCCAGGCTAGAGTGCAATGGCACCATCTCGGCTCACCGAAACCTCTGCCTCCCGGGTTCAAGTAATTTTCCTGCCTCAGCCTCCTGAGTTGGTGGGATTATAGGCATGTACCACCACGCTTGGCTAAGTTTTGTATTATTAGTAGAGATGGCCTCCCGAATTGCTGTGATTATAAGCAAGAGCCACCGCGCTCAGCCCTTTATTGTGTTTTTTTAAGGTTTATTTTGTTTTTTGTTTGTTTGATAGCTAACTTCTTTTTCATGTTGTATTTTATCTTTTTTTTTTTTTTTTGGAGACGGAGTCTCACTGTCGCGCTGGAGTGTGCAGTTGTGTGATCTCGGCTCACTGTAACTTCTGCCTCCTGGGTACAAGCAGTTGTCAGATTACGGGTTCCTGCCACCATGCTCAGCTGATTTTTATATTTTTAGTAGATACAGGATTTCACCATGTTGGTCAGGCTGGTTTTGAACTCCTGACCTCAAATGATCTGCCCAGCTCAGCCTCCCAAAGTGCTAAGATTGCAGGCATGAGCCACTGTGTCTGGTGTCTTTTGCCTGTTTTATTATTGGTTCAAGTTTTTACATGAGAGAGGGAAGGAAGGTGGTAATACTAACAGTGATAATTTTAATTTATATGATACTTAGCTGTTAGCAAACTTATTGTGGGACATTCCTGTGAGGTGGCAAGGTAGGTTAACTCCATTTTTGCAGATGAAGAATGTGAGACGTGGGTTAAATAACTTGCCCAAGTCACAGAACAAATGGCAAAACTAGGAAGTATTTAGATTACCTAATTCTAAGTATAGTACTTTTTCCAACACATGACCCAGGAGAATCAATAGAAAACAAATTTAATCATGGAAGCAATTGTAACTTGCCAAAATAAAATTGTATTTTTTGTTCACTTTGCTTACTAAAATAAAATCCTATTTCTAGATGATTTTCTAAACATATTTTTCTTGGTCTCTTCCTTCAAGTCATTTGTTTGACTCTCGGTAAGACAGTACTACTACTCAATGTTCTTGCTGTCATTTCAGGACAGAAATGGTGTGTGCTGGTTGATACCCAGGGTAACTTGTTCTTCTCCCTGATACATTACATCAAAGAAGTCCCCATTTGAGAAAGGAGGAGGTAGATTTTATGGTTATTCCTTAAATCTCTTGGGAAAGAGGGCAAACTGTTGTCAGGAATAGTTTTCTTTTGTCTCAGTATCTGTTATATTTATACATGGCACCCTCCTGATTACAGTTACAGCTAGCACCCTAAAATAAGGTCTAGAGCTACGGACAATTACAAAGTTCGTTCCTTTTTTTTTTTAGGCTGAGTCTCACTTTGTTGCCCAGGCTGGAGGTCAGTGGCACAATCTTGGCTCACTGCAACCTCTGCCCTCCAATGCCTCAGCCTCACGAGTAGCTGGGACTACAGGCGTGTGCCACCATGCCCGGACAATTTTTGTGTTTTTTAGTAGAGACAGGGTTTCATCATATTGGCCAGGCTGGTCTCAAACTCCTGACCTCGTGATCTGCCCGCCTCAGCCTCCCAAAGTGCTGGGATTACAGGCAAGAGCCACCACACCTGGCACAAAGTTCTTATGCTACTAAAATGATCTTTTTGTTTCTTTAATGTTTTCTGACCCTGAATTAATTTGCTAATTCTTGATGCTCTTCTTGGATACTTAGAGGTAATTATTTTGCCTTAGTTTGGTGTTAGCATTTTGATGTTTGTAATATATTTGAAATAATCCTTCTAAGTATATATTGGTTTGGGCTTTTAAGTGGGAAGCTCAATCTTCAGAAGGATGTTTAGCTTATGGACATTTAAAAAACCAAGTACTAGTACATTGTTTCTTGGTATTTGGAATTGTGGTGAGTTGGAGGCAACCGTGAAAGTGCAGTGTGTGTGGACTCAACCTCCGCTTCTCCTAACTCCTGTGCTCATTCCACAGGAATTAATCACCCAGTCAATATTCCTCTCATGCCTGCATCCCCAGCCATACGGAGAGGACCCCATAAACTGTAAAAAGGTCCATTGGCTTTTATCTGGAGAGGACTATACCCATAGAACTCGGTTCTGCTTTTTGCTTCAGTTGACAGGTTGACCTATGGTGTTGATACCTCCAGTAAAACCAAGTCTAAGTGCTTTGGTTGACTGCATTTCTCATTGCTTTGCTCAGGAAGGCCAAGGACGCATTAAAATCTGTTTGTCCCATCCTATATTTCCTTTCAAAGGTTGTTAGCCAGCACTTTTGTTTTACGGTGTGTTTTTGTTTGGACTCAACTTCTGCTCATAAATTCAGATGTGGTCAGTTATTAAGAGCATTTTGAATTTTAAATGTGTCTGTTTCACAGGTTCTGTGTCTCCATGTTTATGTATATGGAAAATAACTTTTAGTATTTTTACATGTTGTTTGTATTATAATTAAGTGCTTTCAGGGGTCAGGCTTTGAAAGTAATTTTAAAAACTTTAAAGGGATTGTTTACATTTTTTTTTTTTTTTTTTTAGAGGAAGAAAGAGAGAAAGAAAAAGAATAAACATTTTTATTAACAAGTTAGGTAGCTTTTATTCTTCAGAAGTGGGATTTATTATGTAAAGCCACTTTGTGGAAGAGGTGAAAATTAATCTGCCTCACCTTATGCTTCAATGAATGGTGAGGTTCAGAGCAGAGAATGAGGGGAGGGATTGTGGAAACCCTTTCCTGGTATTAATATTCCTCACAGATTAAAACTTTTGGTCTTCATCTGTTACCTTTACGTTTGTTAGAAAGAGAATTTATGTTGTCAACTTAATTCACCCAGTGTTCCAATGCTTGCTATGTGCGTGGCAGTAGGAAAACTAAGGTCCTGTGCTGTAGGAGAAATAGAAAGGTAGATAACTCTGGTCATGCTGATCATGGTTTGCGTTCTAAGAAGGTGTTAAGGGAAAAGTGGGACTTGCACTGGACTTGAAAGGTGAGTGGTATGTCAGCAAAGCTGGTATTATTCAGGCTGAAACGAGCTGTACAAAGGAAAAGATATGAGAGGTGCGTGCTGGGCATGCCGGGGCATACACAGAACGTTGCTAAGAATGGTAGAAGTGAGGGCACATACTGTATTAGTCCCAGCCTGTCTTCTTCACTGACTGGCTGTATAACCTTACGAGAGTTAATGAACTTTCTGAGCCTCTGTTTCCTCATCTGCAGAGGATGGCTAGTTACTCCATCATAGAGGTAAGATTAAATGAGGCTATAATATTTTCCTTTGCTGCTGGGTGCCAGGCTGGTAATCCTAGCACTTTGGGAGACTGAGGCAGGTGGATCACTTGAGGTCAGGAGTTCAAGACCAGCCTGGCCAACCTGGTGAAACCCCATCTCTACTAAAAATACTAAATTAGCTGGGCCTGGTGGCACATGCCTGTAATCCCAGCTACTTGGGAGGCTGAGGCAATTTTGTTTCCTGTTTTCAAATTAACATGTTGGTCAGACTAGTTTCTAAAGTGTTACTATCCCCTGTAGTCCTACCGGCAAAACATCTGTTGTCAGCAGTTCAACGAATATCAGTCTTTTTAATTTTCATCTCTGCACACCTTTGGTGGTACTGGTGGTAGGTTTTTTGTTTTGTTTTGGTACAATCATGCCTCAGTTAACAACAGAATATGTTGTAAGAAGTGCATCACTGAGTGATTTTTGTCATTATTCAAGCATCTTAGGATGTACTTAGACACACCTAACCTAGCCTGGCTGTAGCCAACTGCACATGTAGGCTATGCAGTGTAGCCTTTTGTTCCTAGGCTACAAACCTGTACCACATGTTAAACTGTATCAAATGCTGTAGGCGATTGTAACACAATGGTAGGTATATATGTATCTGAATGTATGTAAACATAGGAAAGGTACAGTAAAAATAAGGTATAAAAGATGAAGGAAGTTGCTGTGGGTGTCAGTGAGGGAGTGGTGAGTGAATGATGGCCTAGGACATTACTGTACACTACCGTAGATTTATTAACATTGTACATTTAGCTACACTAAATTTATTTTTAAAAGTTTCCTTGTTTCAGTATTAACTTCAGATTACTGTAACTTTTTTACTTTATAAACTTAAAAATTTTTTAATCTTTTGACTCTTTTGTAATAATACTTAAACCACAGACATATTGTGCAGCTGTTCAAAATATTTTCTGTCATTGTATCCTTATTTTATAAACTTTTTTTTTTTTTTTTTGAGACAGAATCTCGCTTTTTCACCAGGCTGGAGTGCAGCGGAATGATAGCTCACTGCAACCTCTGCCTCCCGGGTCCCAGCTATTCCCCTGTCTCAGCCTCCCGAGTAGCTGAGACTACAGGCACCAGCCACCATGCCCAGCTAGTTTTTTGTGTTTTAGTAGAGATGGAGTTATACTATGTTGGCCAGGATGGTCTCAATCTCCTGACCTTGTGATCTACCCGCCTCCGCCTCCCAAAGTGCTGGGATTACAGGCATGAGCCACTGTACCCGGCCGGTAAACTTCATTGTTATCATTAATTACTCTTAGAGATAAGGTCTCTGTTGCCCAGGCTGGAGTGCAGTGGCACAGTCATAGCTTGCAGTAACCTCAAACTCCTGGGCTCAAGCAATCCTTACTTTAGCCTCCTCAGTAGCTAGGACTATAGGTGTATGCCACCATGCTTGGCTATGCTTCTCTTAAAGTACTGGTTCTCGAGGTTGGGGCTAGAAATTCCTCCCTGCCCCCTCTTTTGGCAATGTGTGGGGGCATTTTTGGTTATTACTTTTTGGGGGGGGGGTGGATGCTATGCTGCCCAGGCTGGTCTCAAACTCCTGGTGTCAAACAATCCTTTCTCCTCTGCCTCCCAAAAGTACTGGAATTATAGGTGTGAGCCACCAGGCCTGCCCACTTTATTCTATAAGATTTTTTTCTATTTAAATTATTATTTGAGACAGAGTCTTGCTGTGTCACCCAGGCTGGAGTGCAATGGTGCAATCTTGGCTCACTGCAGCCTCCATGTCCCAGGTTCAAGTGATTCTCCTGCCTCAGCCTCCTGAGTATCTGGGACTACAGGCACATGCCACCACACCTGGCTAATTTCTGTATTTTTTTTAGTAGAGACTGGGTTTCTGCATGTTGGCCAGGCCGGTCTGGAACTTTTGACCTCATGTGATCCGCCTACCTCAGCCTCCCAAAGTGCTGGGATCACAGACGTGAGCCACCACACCTGGCCATACTTTTTACTTTTTAAACACTTTTGTTAAAACTAAGTCACAAACACATGCATTAACCTAAACCTACACAGGGTCAGAATAATCAATATCCCTGTCTTCCAGCTTCACATCTTTTCCCACTGAAAGGTCTTCAGGGGCAGTAACACACATGGAGCTATCATCTCTTATGATAACAATGCTTTCTTTTGTTTGTTTGCTTTGGTTATTTTTTGAGATAGTCTTACTGTGCTGCCCAGACTGGAGCGCAGTGGCATGATCTCAGCTCACTGCAACCTCTGCCTACCAGGTTAAAGTGATTCTCTGCCTCAGCCTTCTGAGTAGCTGAGATTACAGGCATGCATCAATAGTTCCAGCTGAGTTTTGTATTTTTAGTAGAGACAGAGTTGTGCCATGTTGGCGGGGCTGGTCTTGAACTCCTGGTCTCAAGTGATCTGCCCATCTTGGCCTCCCAAAGTGCTGGGATTACAGGTGTGAGCCACTGTGCCGCCCTTTTGGTACCTCCTGCAAGCCCTGACTGTGGCTGTTTTACAGTTAAGTTTTTTTAAATTTTTTATTTTTTTGGGACGGAGTCTCACTCGGTCACCTGTGCTGGAGTGCAATGGCGCAGTCTTGCCTCACTGCAACCTCCACCTCCGGGGTTCAAGTGTTTCTCCTGCCTCAGCCTCCCGAGGAGCTGGGATTACAGGCACGTACCATCACACCTGGCTAATTTTTTGTATCTTTAGTAGAGACAGGGTTTCACCATGTTGGCCAGGCTGGTCTTGAACTCCTGACCCCCTGATCTGCCTGCCTTGGCCTCCCAAAGTGCTGGGATTACGGGCATGAGCCACTGCGCCCGGCCTGTAACATTTTTTATTTTGATTTATTTTTCGAGATATCTTACCATGTTGCCCAGGCTAGACTTGAATTCCAGGGCGCAAGAAATCTTCCTGCCTCAGCCTCCTGAGTAGCCAGGAATACAGGCACATGCTCCCACATGCAGTTTAGTTAACTAGAATTCCACATAGGATACATAAACCAGTAACATGATTTATTAAGTACTGTACTAGTTGTATATGCTATGCTTTATATCACTGGCAGTATAGTAGGTTTATACCTGCATCACAATAAACAAGGAGGTAATACATTGCATTATGATAGCTACAAAGTCACCAGGCAATAGAAATTTTTCAGCTCCATTGTACTCTTA